AGCCAAATATTGGCCCACAAAAACCTTTTTAATGGAACACTTATTAACAGTGTTCCACATACAGTCTGAGAAACAAGGACCTAGCTCACTGATTTATGGAAGAAATGTTGCTCTAAGCAGATTAACAAAGAATTAATTAGGCTCAAGATGTGTAAATAGCTATTAGAATGGGCTTTCCATCTCAAGAAAACAGAGCTAGACTTTAGGCTTCAAACCAGATCCAAAAGGGAATCTGTCTCTTCCCTTTGCCTGTGCAACAAAGCTGACATGATTTCTAATCTATACACCAGGGGATAAGAAAATTGGCAAAATTGTATTTCCCTAAATGACACTAAAATTGTAGGAATTACCTGTGCATGATCTGACAAAGTATATCTTCATTTCTATAGATGAGCAATTTAAATTTATGCTTTAAGTTCCCAGAAAACCCCAGCAGTCCTAAGCTGAAGATATGAGTTATTTTTAAACAAACAACACTTTCTTAAAGTAGTTTTTAGAGAATTCCCTTAGAGGAGAAAGTCCCCCTCCCCCCCAGGCTTCAGAGGATTTTCCCAGTTAATGCTGTTTTTTCTAGCTTTGAAGCAAGTGTGGCAAGAAGCCAACAGGCCTTGGAAGTAGTCACAGTGAAGCAAAACTTTCTGAACGAGAAACGGGATATCCTAGAGTGACGTGATGTAGGTACATAAGGAATGGTGATAAAAGTTAACTGGGTGACTGCTAAATGTAACTACTCTCATATAGTAGAGTAGAAAAACCAAGTAACTCATTTCCTGGCCTACTAATTTTTATATGGCCTCCATGATGCTGTCCACCTATAATATAGGATCTCAAAAATATGTGCTCCTAAATACTACCTCTCTGTCCAGGAGTCCTTCTGAGTAAACATCACTGAGTGCAAAGCAACAGCAATTTTGACAAGTTGGTTGCCAGCAAATGGAGGGAACAGCTTCACTTATAATACAAGGAATAATAGTAAGCTAACATTTTGGGAGAACTTACCTTATGCTAGGCCCCGTCACATTCTCTAAAGGGCATAATACTTCATTTCCCAGGAGTGTGTACCCCTAATTCAAATTGGCACTTCTGCCTAAGGTCAACTGTTATATTTAGCTTTTGTTTTTCTTTTTTTTAAACAATTTTGCAAATCAAGCACAATCTTTGGGTAGGAAGAAAATAAATGATGCACGGCAAACTGTTCTGCAAACAACAAAAACCCAATCCTCCAAACTATCAAATATTATCCAATTCACAAATATAGGCGGTTACTGCATCCATCCAGTATTTAGGATAAAGAAAAACAGCAGCCTCTACTTAAGACATTTATTCCGAGGAGAAATGCATACAGGAAGTACATATATTGCCCTACTGGCGAATACTGAAGCTAAATTAGAGACGACAAAGTTTTTCTGTTTAAGAACAGTCAGTGAGTAGACCAGGACAGGCAGGCAGGGCCAGAGACTGGAATGACCACCGAGGAGCTTGCACCAAAGACAGCTTCCAGCTACTCCTTCCCCACCCTGGGCGCCCAGGCCTTGCCTCCACGGAGGTGAAACCCGTTCGCTGGCGTCTGGAATCTGGCCTCTGATTAGCTGGCTGATAGGCAACAGCCCTGTGATGCAGGCTGACTTCAGAGGCCAGGTCGGAAGCAACTGGTTAGCAGGTTCCATGGGAACTCTGCAGGAAGCTGGCCGAGGGCCAGGCCAGCAAGAGCATAAGGAGTGTGGCGAAGCCTCGTGCCAGTCACACAAGAAACTGCAGGAAGGTAGAGATGCCGACAAGCCTGGTGCCAAGCGTGCCCAGGCAGAAGCCTCTGCCAACCCACCTCACCCTTGCCGGCATGACGGCCGAAGAAGGACCGGAATGAGACCCTCCAGAACCATGACAGGAAACTATCATTTTTACTCACCGAGTTTGGGGGTAGCAGCTTATACATTAATGGATTCTTGGAACCACCGAATGCTCCTTCATGACTGCGGTCACAAAGTGGGGTGCCTGGGGCAGGTCCCGCCTATAGATGGGTTTCTTGGCATTTTTTTTACATTCTAGCTAATATTTTCCATCAATTTTTCTCAGGCTTGCACTTTCTCACCCTCCCTGTCTGCCAGGCCTCTGTTGATTCTAAAGTACACAACCTTGCTCCAAAACCTGGGGAGCAAAGGATTCAAATAGTATAGTTGCCTAATCATACACAATGGGATGAAACCATGTGATTACATTATAGCACAGAATCATTTTTAAAAATGCTATAATCCAAAAGAACTTCAATCTGGAAATCCTAGCGTTTATGACCCCATTTTCAAGGATTAAAAAAAAGATCGGTGATTTTTTTCAAAGAAGACACTACATAGATTTACTTCTACCTTCACCCAAAAAGCCTCTATCAGAAGACAGACCACAGTTTCGACTGTATTGTTTGGACAAAGAGAAATGAACAGGCACACACTTGGTAACTCTAGTAAAAACATTAATTATAGAATACGTTAGTCAAGTTACATGTTTCTGGACCACCTATAAATAGCCTATGTGCCTTTCAATTTCCAGTAGCCAACTTATCTTTTCTTAGCCAGACCCCATTTCAATTACTCAGCAACACATTTTTTTAAAAATTCTATATCACAAAAAAGGGATCAGCACGAGGGCTTTCCAAATATGAACCAAGGAAAGCTATTTTAGAACCCATTTGAATTTTATTATACGCTCCTTCAGAGCAGTAATTCTTATATTTGCTTTGTTCCTAGGTTTATCATTTGTACTCAGTAAAAACCCTCAGTTGTTTAATTAAATACATTAATTTTTTTTACAATTTAAAACTTAAAGTATTGCATATTTACATATCTTGAAAGCATTTAGGAGTTAACCAACTCTCTTCCTAGGTCGGATTTTAATTTTATGCTCTTCATCATTATTACATAATATCCATTATTTTATCAGATATAGTTTCTGACAATCATTAGGATTCAGGGATATACCAGATCACTAATGCCAAACACCTCCAGTTCAAAATGATTATTAGTGTGAATCTCAAGACTTTTTTTACACAGTTCTAGCTTTACAGCAGCATCGTGTTAAAGCATTTACTAAATTAATTACGTATATAAACTCTAATCTGATTCAACTAGGTCACAAGGATATATATCATTTTCCACATCTATAAAACTTTCAAAAGAAATGACAGACAGAGACAAGCAATCTCTTATGCAAGACAGGCACAGGTTCAGGCATCATGGAAAGGTATACTTATTGGATGGAGTCTGCCAAATTCCCTGTGTACCTTGTGAAGAGCGCTGAACTGCAATAAGACAAAACTAGAAAGAGGCGGCTAAGGAAAAAAGCACAAACCTTTTCCTCCACAAACGTCCCGAGAGGCAGCAAAAAATACTAAATAGCTCCCCTCAACTTAGTTCAAGATTTTATTTGGGTTTGAAAAATTTATCTCAGAACACATTTCTTCCCTAGCAACAATGTTACAAATAAATGACATTTTGAGTTTTCTGGCAAATAAAAAAATATTTTGTTAATGCAGAACGCAGCAGAACTGGAGAAAGATGGTGGACAGGGCTCAAGAGGAATTGTTTTGGGGGAGGAAATCACCCAAAACCTGTACCATGGATTCACACCCTCAGGTCGGCTCTGCTCTGAGATACACTGCCTCCTGGTTGTGACACCAGTTATTGACCAAAAGGCAGCTGAATGTATTTTAAGGGCAAAACAAGTATAAAAATTAGACTTTTCTCAAACACTTTAGCTATACTGAGATACCACTACTTTTACCTGCAAGGATTCAAATAGCCTCAAGTCACTGTTGCTCTTTGGGGAACATGAAAAAATAACTTTTCTTTGATCTACGCAAGATGATTTTCTCTTTTATTAAAGGTACCATATGAGTTACCAATTTGCATGCACCCAACTAAAATACAAAAGGTATTCAAAACAGACACTTAGACCTAACAAGTTCACTACCTCGAAAACCCTTTTAAGAAATCGTTTTAGCATTGCTTATAACTCCTTCTGGGATTATTTTTAAAATAAAGAAGTTGAATATTAAAGGAACATTCACTTTGCAAAGCATTTACCAGTTAATCCCAAAACGCTTTTCCACAGCATTTCCAAATCCGTTCTCTACCACGCAGCAGCCCTCGACTGCCATTCACCATCACAGAAAATGCCGTGTTCTCGTCTCAGGGCGTTATCCAGGTTAACTCAATTTTCCTAACAACTCTTGAGTTTGGTATTATTATCCCCAGGCCACAGAAGGAAAAGAAAAAGTGGAGCCTCTGAGACACGAAATAACTTGGCTTGAAGTTACACAGCTATTTCATGGCAGAATCAAGATTCCCACCCAGGCAACCCGGCCCCGAAACCTGCACAATCTCTGCATCAACTCGCTCTTTCCCTCCCTCAGTCAAACTTCTACTCACTGCCCACAGTGGAACAAGCGCTCTGCTAAGGCTTAGGTATAAAAACATGGATCCCCCACCCAGAAAAAGACAGTCCAAGCCCCCCACTGCTCGTGACCATACCTCTGAGGATATACAGCCAATTAGCCAGACGACAAGTAAACCCAGAAGTCCAGTACGACAATGCCAGTTAAGTGAAACATTTGGGGAGAAAGAATTTAATAATAATGCTCCTCTATGTACTATTTTTTAATAATTAACCAGGTGTAGCAGAAGAGAGCGTTTTTATGCGGATTTCATGGAACAGAAAACACGTGAAGCTATTGGGGCCTGAACATCTTAAGGACAAACATACCCTTCTATAGGAATCTGCCTTTTCATAGGTCCTACTTCTCTAAAAAGACCAAACTTGCCAAGTTCTATGCTGCTGGGGAATCTACTGTGGTCTATGCTCAAAGACATGGACTTGGCAAATGTGATATCCATTTTAAAATGTGGAGTGAAGGGGTGGGTCAGTTAGCTCTGTGATGGAGGAAGACAGAGGCGCCCTCAAGAATTGGTTCCATTGACAGTGAAATGAGCAAATAAAGCCAGCAGGTGGAAAATAGTCATAAAGAGGAAACAGCAGCATGGCCCAAGGCAGCACATGACCAGTCACCGAGGGCGACCCAGATCCAGGCGAAAGTGCCCATCTCCCCTACACAAATGTCGGGCGCTCTTCATAGTTGAAGAACTACGAAACACAGGTAGTAAACAGACTGTGATATCCCAGTCTGTGTCCACAGAAATTTGGATACTTGGAGGGCTTGATAGAGAAAAGACTCCAGATACGGTAACTGCCACACAGGTTTTCCAGTTTCTGCTTGTTTCTTGTAAAAATAAAATAAACTTGGCTGAGTCACATGATAAACACAGCAGTCAAAATTGGACATCCTAAGGAGGCTCCAGACAGGATCCTTCCAGCTCCCCCTGCCCTATCTACTCCTGCACAGGGCTTCACCCCCACTTTCTGAAAGAAGGAGACTTTCATGCTCTTCCTCATTTTATCAAAAGAAAACAAGGTGCCCACTAAGTGTCCTACTACATAAAACTTTTACAACAAACCATTCCACCTCAAAATCTTTGCATGAAGTGGAAAGCTAGGATCCGGACAGTAAGGTCCTAGAGGAGAGAGCTCCGAGCACCTTCCTCTCCCTAAACAAGCCTCCTGGGACCAACTGCTCGGGGCCCCAAGTCTGCAGTTCCGAGCTCACTCCAGTCTCACCTCTAGGAGGGCAAGGAAATGCCCAGAGGTAGAGCTGAGTCCAAAAGAGGCAGCTGAGGGAAGTGAGAACTCGCATTTGTGGGTAAGGAGCACACGGGCAACTTCCCCTTCCGCCTTGGCCTCTAGGATGCTGGGAACTTTCTCCGGCGCGTGAGGGAGACCCATGTTTGCAGCCCGAAAGGGATTAAAGAAGATACAAAAGACCATTTGTTCCGGTGGTCGGTCCAGGTATGAAACACAGCTCATCCCTAGACACAACGCCGTCCCATCGGCAGCAATCCTGCGCCTCACATCAAATTCATCCATCGCTGCCAGTCCACTTAGTTTCAACACTCTCAGAAAGCACTAATGGAGCCTGACATATAACAAGAGCAATGAAAGCGAGAGCAAGCCCCATTCAGACACAAGGCAGCAGTACAGTAGCAAGGAAAGAAGGAACAGGTGAGCTGCTATGGAAAACAGGGTACCGTGGAAGGCAAATTTTCAGAGAGTGTTTTTGCTTTTTGAGTGTATGGGTGTGGGGGGGTGTCTCCCTGTGATTTCTAAATCCTTGTATTTGAAAGGCCTGAGTCTAGCGAGTTCTACAGCAACAACTTAAATAGATACACAAAAATCACAGGCCTCCCACATGACCTCAGTTGAAAGGCAAACACCTCATTCCTAAATGAGGGTAAGAACTGGCCTCTCAGGAGCCTGGTGCCTGTCCTGGCAACGCCAAGAGGAAATGAGGGATGGACCTCTAACCTGCAGGGTGGGAAAAATTAGTCTTTAAAAGACACCCATATGCCATGGAATCCAGGACCAGATAGCAAACAATCTCGATGGACGGGGGAAAAAAGGCACTGTCATTAAATCCTATAAAATTAAAATGAGGAAACATGCATTCATTAACTTCAGCACAGGAACTCCTTACCAAGAGTCCCTTCTTTCATCGTACTAATATCAGAAAACATAAGACATTCTGAAGGAACTTTATTAACTTGAGTGTTTAAAATGCCATGATAGTCCCATAAAAATGCCAACCTTGTGCAAAGACAAGGGTGTCCTTCTCCTCGTTTCCTTGTCTTCAGGCTCCTTTCAAAAAGCTGTTTCTGAAAGGCACGCCCCAAACCGAGTTTCAGGTCTTGATCGGCCCACCCTGTTTTACACACCAGAAGTCTTCCCTACCTAAATTTATGGCAACTCTGTTCTAAGTTTCTCAGACCCAAAGACTCATAGCACGTCTGATGCTCATTTGCTCCTATGCCATAACCATCTGGAAATCCTGCAGACGGGACCATCACTGCTCACTCAGATAAGCCCTGGGCCTGGGGCACCATCACCTCCACCTGCCAGAGTTGTTGCTGTTTCTGCAGTTCCAGTCAACACCACAGCCACAGGGAACTTTCAAAACGGAAACCTGCTCCACTCTTCCTGTGTTCAAAACCCTGCCCCTTCAGTATCTTTGCATCTAGCCTTAAGCACAAATCTAATTCCCCAAATGTTCTGCAGAGGCCAGTAGTGCCCATTCTGCTTTCCCCTCCCCACCCCTCCAGCCATATGGAACTCTAGCTCCTGCGGGGATTTGTTCTGTGGCCTCCTCTAAGCTGATGGTTGCTATGCTCCCCACCCTCTCCACCTTGAAAGTTCTTGCACTCAGGTATCTGCAAGGCTTGTCACTCTCACCTGCTCATGTCTGTCTTCCACTCTCCCCCTACACAGGTGGTCATTTTGTTCCCCAATATAGTGCCTGCACCTGACAACTGCCCGTTCTCAGCAAGACCTCGAAGATCACATGGGGACAAACGAAGGCCTGAATGGCTATGCTTATAGAACCAAGGAATGACCGGGACTTGAAAAACTCTGCAACTGAGATAAATGTATGGAGAAGACAGTCCTTTTCCATTTGTTGCTCTGGGCAGTAGTCCTTGGAGGTGGAGGAGGGAAGTGTGGAGGAGAGGAAGACCAGCTGCCGAAGAAATCCACCCACCCTCTGTGCTGCTCTCAGAGTCAGGGTGTGCAGACCTCCACGTGGGTCTCCCTAGTTCCTAGCAAAACTGCCCCATGGTAAGCCTCCCCCTCAGGCAGCTCTCCCGAGTTCTAGGAATAACCATTGCTGGGCATCAAAAGAACATTGCCAAGGTCTTTCAGACTTCCAAGGCCCCACCTTCCGCTAATTTCATTTCCAAATATGTCATTCTTAGTTAAGCACAAGGATCATTCCCAAATGTCTTAACACGCGGCAAAATGACATTTACAAAAATGCTCCTGAACCAAGGAAGAATTTCTTTCTCATTCTTTACCTAGTGTTAAGGAAAGTATCAGGCATGGCTCCTCCAGCTTTACGTGGATCAGTCCACTCCCTCCTCCCGGGGAGGTGAGTACTACTGTGAAGTTCATTTTACAGCAGAGACTTAAACGCCCACGGTCACGCGGCTACAGAATGAGAGGGGACTGGAATGTCAACCCCAGAAGGCTGGCCAGTCACAGGGCTTATGTCACTGTGGTTCAGCCCTCTCGTCCATCCTGCCCAAGGACAAGTGGGGTCAGAAAGATTTCCTGTGACGAATGCCACCTATTCGTTCAAAGAAGCAGTAGAAATATGTCATTCTCCGACCTGTTCAGGTACAGAGTTAAAAGTTCCAGTAAGAATGAAAGCATCACTTGACATATTAAAATATTACTAAATACAATGGCAATTAGAATAGTTTTTCCTAAAATGATGGTAAAGGCAAGAGAACAGTAAAAATGGGCAAAATGCAGTACTCCTTGAAAAACTACTTTTTAAAAGTAAATATTAAAATGTTGGCTTGGAAAACAAGGAAATAAAGTCTTATAAATATAGCTGCTCACAAAAAGTGGTTTCCTCTGGGAATATTCAACTGTGAGCAATTCAGCCAGAACTAATGTTAACATATTTCCTCAAATCCTGATGTTTTGAGAACATATTTTATTTTCTTTTTAACAAGAATGAAAACAAGATTCTACAAATATTTGAGAGGCCTTAAAGAGCAGTGGGAGGGATTCCTCAAACCTGGCATTCAATGAACATCTTCTGATAAAGCACAATGGAATGAAGGAAATGCTAAATTATTTACAAAATATTAATGGCCTGCTCTCCCACTTTTTCAAAAGGCCAGAACCACGGAAAAGGACTTTGTAAGGCAAGGCTAAAAATCAAACATTTTCCATAAATCACTCAATTCACACATGTAACTTTTTATATTCACTAAATGGCATTATGTATTCATGAGCTGATCTTAATGAACTATATATTTGCTGAAACAGTTCATCAAAGAGCAACTGTTTGGTTAAATAGTTCATATTCTTCAGAAGATAAAATCTTGTATTAAGAAAAGTCAGATTTGGAGTTACCTCTGGCAACTATGAAATAGGCAGTAAGAAAGGCAGAGTCTAATTTACCCTCTTAAGTGTTTTCTTCTAATGTTACTTCTTAGCTTTATAAAATAGGCATCAACCACCAACCCAGCCCCTTGGAACACAGTCGCCCAAGCCAGTCATTCCGACCCCCATCATCAGCTTTCTTCTGGGGTCACTAGTGTTCTCACCACACCCTCAAACCCCTCCCCCTTCCATGCATCCCCTCCCCTTGCCAATCCCAGCGTCTCAACCCTTTCAGGACAAACAAGGGACCTCCCAAAGTTTCGTTATGCTTGTCTGATATTCCACACTTAATGATAAAGCTAGTAAGGTCTGTCCCTCTTTTGTGCCTGTCTGTCTCTCAGCCCTCAAAGCAGCTCCTGTCTACTCCAACCCAAGTAACATCTTTTCCCTAGGACTCCAATACTAAAGTGGGAACTTGGGGCCAGTATGGGCAGGCAATATGGGGGCAAGCCAGAGAGCCTTTGGGAGCAGATGTTGGTCTCCCGGCCTGGGCAGCTTTCAGCAATAGTTGAGTATAATGCCTTCCCCTCTTTGGTTTCCTCTTCCCACAACAAGCTTCCTAACAGCACACACAAACAGTGGAGGGAACTGGATATGCAGCTCCAGGCAAATCCCAGAACTACAGACCTTGCAAGAAGCTAAGTAATTCCTGGGTTCAGAGACTCAAGGTCCCTGTAGTTCTCTCCACTCTCACCATCCAAGCTGCAGCTCAGAGCCTCCTCCAGCTGCCCCAGGCTAAAGTCACTGGAGAACATGCTGAGCTTGCACAATTCTGGCAGTTTTTCCTGCCATGTAGAAGCCAAATTATGGCTGGCTCAGGCTTGGTGCTGCAGACTGCTCACAGCTGAAAGGTTACTAATATATTACTGTTCTACAGAAAAATGCATGGAAATGGTTTATGATTCTTGCAGAAAATACTTCAAACAACAAAAATAATATGGTGACATAGCTAAAACACAGGCAGCAATTCCCTTTTATCTCTGGCAATGAATTACTTTGATGAATACATACTGTGGCTAACACGTGAGAAAAAGTTCTGTCAGCTTAGGTCCAACTTGGGGTGCTACGGTCACTTCTTCCCTTCTCCCACCTCCTCCACATTTGAGGGTTTCACAGCAAATGAAAGAAGGCATTTTTTCAGCTTCCAGCACAGACATAAGTCACAGAAGAACAAAGAAGACTTTATTATCACGCAAAGCATCAAGGAGGAAATGAACCTACTGATAACTAATTTAGTATCCCAGGCTATTTGTTAGCATTTGCTTTTTGCAATCTTCCAGGCCAATATTTGCAATTTATATCTAAGGCTGGAGGTAGAAATGTTCAGCTAGTGAGAAGGTCGCTAAGGGGAGAAAGGAAAAAAAAAATCCCTTGGAAAACAGAACAAAGTACACAGATAGGGAGAAAGGCAGCCTTTGCGCCTCAGTGGTCTACAGCACATCTTCCCTCTCTGCCTACAGAGTGATTTAACATTAACCACGTTTCACTCCTAACCAATAGTCCTTTCTGAATGCTCCCCCAGGGAGGGGAACGAACACATCTACACAAAAGAATGTGAAACATACTGCCACAGGCCAGTATCTTGGGCATTTTGCCTACGAGGTTTGCTTTCAGCAAGGAGGGGAAAAAAAAACAAAACAAAAACAAAAGCCAACAGCAGCAGCTTGCACAGCGAACAGCCGCCTGCTTTTTGGCAGACTTTCACAGTGAGCAGTTCCAGTTGCTGAGTCTCGAGCCCATTCAAGAATTCCATTTCATAGGAAGTGCTGCAAACATGGTCATCTGATCTTTCCAGCACTTGCAAATGCACCTGCTGAGAACCAGGACTCTGTAGTCCCAGCTCCTGCGCCTGCTTTCTGTGGGTTCAGTCTGGGGCCCGAGCAGATGAAAAGTACAGGAAAACTATACCTAGCGCTGCTGTGGCTGCTGCTGCGGGAGGCCAGGTCTCAAGCGTGGAGGTCACTCCCTGCTCCCCTCCTGGCTGCCCGTCACCCTTTCCCGGGAGCAGGGAGGAGGTTGTTAGGTTGTATTTGCTGGCTTACCTCGAGGAGGAGGCGGGCTCCTCACCGCGCTCTGCATGGCTGCCCCCCACGGCCTGGTCCCTGCCGCTGGGGTGGTAGGCAGTGAGCACAACGCCCTGGGAACTGGAGAGCCAGCTCATGGTGAGAGAAGGGGCATAATCTCTGCGAGCCTGACCAGGAGGGGAATGAAGTTCCCGTCTCTGGCAGGCAACTTGCTCATTAGCATGGACCAGCTCCTCCCCGCGGGGCGGCTGCTCTGGAGGGCGGGCCTCCCCAGCCTGGGCTTCCTGGCTCTGCTGCGGGAAGCTGTGACTCACAGCGCAGTTCAGGCCAGGGCCGCTCGGGCGGGCCGAGAGGCGTCAGCTCAGGGAGGTAGGCAGTCATTCTGATCTGCTTCAACTGTGGAACTGCACACTGAGCTCAACAGAAGCACACGTGCGTTGGTCAGGAAACAATGGGTTACTGTCGTGCCTTTTCTCCCTTCTCAATTCCTGTTTGCATCTGAATTTCTGCTATTTCGTGTAACATGAGTAAGGGCGTTTGTTAACCTCTTCGTGCATGGCCTTATGGGAGCCACAGCATAAACCAAGCAGCTGCGGCAACCCGGGGCCATCTGACCTACAAGAAGGGCTTCTGCAGCTGCTTATAAACGCCCCAGAAAAACTAGTGTGTGATCCAGAATATCTTCTTTCACTTGTTTTATTGAAAAATTCTTCAGTACCAGAAAGAGACATCTACCGATGTTCCGTTAGGGTTTTGCTGAGAATGAAAGAATCATCCAACATTAGCTCCTTACGTACGTGTCAGGCTTGTGTGTGTGCACTTGTGTGCTGGTATACACACAGAGAGCTGTTATCAGTCATGTAAACAAAACAAGGCTAAGCACAGGGCAAGCACTGTGGCTACTCTAACACAGTTATTAAGGGCGAGAAGCTGGATCTGAACGATTCTTTCACATCAACATTCTGTCTTAAAAAAACAAGGTCGAAATTTTGGAAAAATGCAAGTTGTTTCTCGATCCGTTTCTCCTCTAAAAGTTCCATTCTGTTTGACATCCCTAGGAACCAGAAGTTCTTTATCTTCTACTATGTTGGTCTCTCTGGATGAAATTCCTCATAATCAGGCTTGAGTTCGTCACTCTGCAAGCACTGCTTAGTCTCTTCATTATGTGAAATGATGAGATCCTGTCACATCTGCCGTGAACCTTTATTCACAGAAGTCTTCCTCCAAAAGAGATCACGGGGGCGGGACAACCCCCTTCCAGGCCCCCTTCTGTATCTTAATTGTTCCCACTCTTAAAAACAGAGCGATTATTACGTCTCTCTCTCTCCACCTCCTTTCTACTGCCACTTCTTCAGCCACTTGGAGCCTTATAATTAGGTGCCCACTTGTCTTCCAGTGGCACCTGTCCCTCCTCTGAACTATCCTACACACTGACATTCCCCCTCCTTGATTAAAAATCCACACTGGCTCCCCACTGCCAAGAGTTTAAATTTGCAAAACGGCCCCTGGGCATTGGCCCTCCTGCCTCAGCTGAATAGGGCTTTCCCTCCTGTCCTTCACCATTCCCCGAGGTCACCTTGTCCTCCTTCCCCTGCCTTCCTCCCACCTACAGGAGGAAGAATTGAGTGAACCCAAAGTATCCATTGAGATGCTGGGCATTTTAATGGTAAAATTTGTAACGTCGGACAAGCGGTGCCCACGCCCACACCAGTGCTCACCAACGATGAACCGTTCACTAGTGCAGGCACAATGAAAATATTCAAGGGAGGAAGAACCAAAAATAAGTTGATGAGTGTCTATACTTTGTCTTTTTTCAATTTTTAGAGTTATTCTTGGTATGTGTTTGCAGTACGGAATGACTGCATTCATCGTGGGGAGCAGGTGCATGTCCATAATGCATCCTCATCCTTTTACTTCCCTTTTCCCTTCCCTCCTCCTGCCCCTCTCCCTCTCTCTTCAGTCCTTCCCGTTTGCAAAATGTGTATCTCCCTCTTTCCTATTATCTTTTGGTCGTTGTTGTTCTTTAATTGACTCATACTTGGGGTTTCCCCCATAAAAGAATCTGTGTGAGATTTAAGTTCGTGCCTGATTCCCTTCACTCAGCATGGTCAAGGTGCATCCATTTTCCTGCCGATGACCCCAGTCTGTCCTTTATGACAAAGCAGTGCTCCATTGTGTATAAATACCACATTTTATTTATCCGTTGGCCAATTACAGACATACAGGCCACTTACAAGATTTAGCTGCTAATTGCTTCTTGGCCTTTTGGCTAAGATCAGTTGTACAAGGTTTAGCTGCTATAAACGTGGGTATGCATGGATCACCGAAGTATGGTTTGAGTAGAGCCACTCCCAACGCGCGGGCGTGGGAACTTCTGACAGTGTCGCAGTACCTGCCCCTGTGCATGCAGGTGCCATCCTGATGTAACTCTGTAACACAAATCGTACCCAGCCAGACTGTAAATGTTAGTGGATGCCCACATAAGGTGGGCAAAGGCACAGAAATGATAGAAAAGGGTGCAACTATGCCACGTTCACACTGGGCCTTGGGGTGCGAATCGGTGGCGTCAGTGCCACAGGAGCAAAGCTGCTTCCTGGGGAGAAAGCCTTGGTGCCCTCTTTCCTGTGTCCGTCTCTCTACCCGAAAATCCCCGTGTGGTGTCTCTCATTCCATTTCAGCCTTTTTGCACAAAGCTCCGTTTTGGAAAGAGAAACACTCCTTACTCCCTTCCGCACCACTAAAAAAAACACCGAGAACCTCACGTCTTTGAAGGTTTTAATACTCTGAGCCACTGAAGACTTTCCTGTTAGGGTACCTCTAAGGTACTTATGCAGGAAAATCTCTAATTCTCCTCACAGACGCCCTTTTTATATGTAGTTGTGCGCTGTGGAACGCAAAATTACGGGACCCGCTGTCCTGCACTTCTTGATGGCGATTCCTATACGCTATCTTGTGGAAATCCTTTCCTTCCTGGTTTGCCTATTTGTCCCTTGCTTTCCTTTACGTACTTGCACCTCCTTTTTGTCTTCTTCCTTGATTTCTCTCTACTTGCCCCCTTCCCCTGCTGTATCTTCAGTCTGGGGGCCTTGCAAGAGTCATCACCATCTTCATGCCTCGGTTCGGGATAAAAGCAAATTTCGTCCACTTGCAAGTAAAACAATAATTAAGTTCTATCTCTGCCTAATTATAGCCTCTCCACTTGTTAATGATACTCCTAATGTACAGGATGGAATGTGACTATTTTATGGGTTCAAAATAACATCTGAGTTCAGGGGAAACCACACTGTTTCATTTCAGAAAGGCAGAAAATAAAATGTGATACAAACTGATTTCCACAGCACAGTACATAAAGTTTGACTCCTACTAATTTAATTTTTGAGGACACGGGAATCCTCTGAGACCCTTCTTCCCTTCTGCACGTCGGAAGGTATAGCGTGTCTGGGGTGCACAGCCTCAGACATGGAAATGCAAGTATATTCCCGAATTTTCCTCCGTCACCAGCGTCGCAAGCCTAACGCTCATATGGTCCTTTAAAAGGGTGTCCTTGTTTTTAGACCCTGAATTCCACAAAGATTTAGCCACAATCGAGCCCTTATATTCTATATTAGCCTCTTCGCATGGATCCACTAGCGTACCCCTGCCCTCAGTCATTTGAAACCAACACTGAGCACCTTGTGTCCTTGAAGATTTTGATGTTCTAAACTAGCGAGTCCGTTCCAAATACTGCCCCATTGAGAAACACCTTAGAAAGTAATGAACACCCTCGATTTCATTCACTCTTCTCTTCACCCAGAGTGCCAGGGGAAGGGAAAAGGAAGCCGTCATCTCTGTACTCAGCATGGTAAAAACAGGGAGGAGACAGTACGGCAGGGGCTTACAATGTGACAACCATGCTCAAGAATAATAAAAAAGAAATTTTCTGGTGTTCAGTGCAAGGACTATCACAGAATTTATTAACTGGTTTTCATATTTTGATATGGATGCTTATGTAATAATGTGGAATTCTATTTGCAAGGAAATAAAATTATGGTGAAATCAACATACTTATAAAAATGTTTTCAGTTTTTTTCATTTTTGAAGGAATTAAATAAGGATAATGAATACGTTTCTTTAATCTCTATGAGGTAATGTAAAGCTTATCTGGGAACACAAAGCCATGTGGAAAATGATCTGCAATTAGGAAAGTTAAAGCCAGTTTACAACAATGTTTTAACAAGAGCTGGAGTAAATTAATCATCAACTGGGACGTTAAGGCGTTACCAACGAGATAAAAAAGTAGATTTGAAAGGTAGCACTGACTAATGAAGAGGGAGTATCTTACCTCCCTTTTCTGATGTTTTGGCTGGTCTTTGTGTGAATAATGCTTGAAAGTTTTCATGGTAGCCAATTCACTGCTGAGGAATTGGGACTGAAAAGTGTCTCCTGAACAGGACCTAAACCTACATCCTAGGAAACTGCACTCACTACTAATTCTGTCGGAAGTGACAAGGGATAAAGCTTTCCCCCTTCTCTGGACAGCTCTAAAGTTTTCTGCATTATTATCAAAGTTATTTTCTTAACTAGTCCTCCAGGGGAAAACATATGAGCCATGCTTGGAATGATGTGCAGCTGCTATTGCCAGGGGCTGATTTAGGCTTCTTGGCAAACACATAGAAAAAATACTTTTATGGTTAGAGAGTCTATTACCAAACAACTGCTACTATCTGAGTGCTTCCTACTGCTGGACACGGCCCACATGGACCCTCATTTAATCCAAAACCTAAGAAATACTAGAATTATGACTCACCCCACAATTAGGACACATAAGCCTCAGTTTCTATGACCATTCAGCTTGAACAATTAAACATTATTAAGATAACAGCTATCTTGAGTGGACACTATTTCATTTATGAAAAGAATTAGTGGAATAGCTAATCAAGTTAATAATCTATAGCAAATCTGAAAGGTTTAATGAAATGGAAGGTTGACATCAACAGTATTTTGGAGGTTCACGTTCAGACCCACACATATACACTGGTTGCTTTTCAGACAGTTTGCAATTTGTTCTTTATGTCAATTACTAGAGAAAAGTGGCACAGTTCTGACAGGCCGTTGTCATGATACCATCCCATCTAAAGTTGTTTCTGCTGACATGAAATGAAACAAAAGTAATCTGGCCATTATAAGTAGGAATATCCTTTATTCTGTAATAGAACAGTATTATTACAGATCAGGGTTGTGGACCCAAACGCTTGTAGAATTCGGTAGCCATAGGGCCTTGGCAAGAACCTTGCTAAGACTAAAACTGTGAAGGTTCATCTTCATTCAACTTTGTAGGA